AGTAGATTAGACCTCACCCTTTGCTCTAATTCATTATCGTTGGATTGCACGTGGAATTTGATCCAAGATCCCCACGGTAGTGATCACTTGCCGATCAAAATTTCGATTGCCAGTGGGTCCAATCCGTCGGAATCCGTTAACGTCGCGTATGATCTTACCCGTAATATCGATTGGGCAAAGTTCAAGACTGTGATAGCTGAAGCAGTAACGTCGGTAGAAGGGCTTCCACCGTTGGAGGAATATAACTTCCTCTCCAATCTGATATTGGACAGTGCGCCTCAAGCTCAAACTCGGCCGGTTCCAGGAACGTCTTTCTGTAGGAAACCTCCTACTCCTTGGTGGGACCAGCAATGCACTGAGGTTTATCGTAAAAAGTCCGACGCGTTTAAACTATTCCGGAAACGTGGACCACCCGAGCATTTCGAAGCATACTCGGCTCTTGAACGCGAACTCAACTTGTTTGGTCAGTTCCTGCAGCTCAATATTGTTCCGGATGATTGGAGGCGGGTGAGAGTTATAGCCATCAAAAAGCCTGGCAAACCCGCGTCAGATCATTACTCGTACCGACCCATCGCGATGTTATCGTGCATTTGAAAATTGTTGGAGAAAATGATCCTTTTTCGTTTGGACAAATGGGTTGAGACGAACCACCTACTTTCAGATACTCAGTTTGGTTTCAGTAGGGGTAAGGGGACGAACGACTGTCTCGCGTTGCTTTCCGCACTGAAATTCAGTTGGCTTTTACTAAAAAAGAGCAAATGACTTCTGTGTTCTTGGGTATCAAGGGGGCTTTTGATTCAGTATCGGTACCTTTTCGGTAACTTTTTGTACAATTTGCTGTCAGAGAAACATATGAGCTTTTCTTATGGAAACTCTACAGCTTCACGATTTAGTTACATGGGTCTCCCCCAGGGCTCATGTTTTGTATAATTTCTACGTAGCTTTGGTTGTGCGGGGCTGTGCTGCCGTTATACGCATAAGAGTCCCATGGTGCATAAGGATTGCATAGAACATGGGTCAGTTATGCGTATAACGGCAGCACAGCCCCGCACAACCAAAGCTTCAACTTTTGGGTAAGCCGATCACTCATTCCATGTCTTTCAAATATCTTGTGGTCTAATTCGATTCTAAATGCACCTGGAGATTCCACATTGAGTATCTGAAGCGGAAATCCAAACAAAGGATCAATTTTCTCCGTACAATTACCGGAATGTGGTGGGGAGCCCATCCGCAAGATCTTCTAGCGTTGTACCGGGCAACGATTTTATCTGTTTTAGAGTACGGTAGTTTGTGTTTCCAGTCGGCGGTTATAACTCACATCATCAAACTGGAACGTATCCAGTATCGCTGTCTTAGTATTGCGTTAGGATGCATGTACTCGACTCATACGATGAGTCTCAAAGCGTCTCGAAGTTGCCACTCTCGGATCGATTTTCGGAATTGTCCCTCAGGCTCCTCACCCGGTGTGAAGTTATGAACCCACTGGTAATCGAAAACTTTGAGAAGCTTCTTGAGGTAAACCCTCAAACTCGTTTTATGTCATTGTACTTCGTGTACATAATACAGGATGTCAGCCCTTCACAACATAATCCTCATCGTGTATGCTTCTATGATTTCGGTAATTCAGTTAGTTTTGATGTATCTATGACGCAAGAGATTCGCGGAATCCCAGATGGCCAAGCTGATTCCGCAAGATCGAACTTCACAGATGGATCACTAATAGAGGCGTCCGCTGGTTTTGGTACTTATAACGAATTTCATAGCGCCTCTCGAATGCTTCATGCTCCTTGTTCCAAATATGTTGCTGAGCTGGGCGGCAATACATACGCTAGAAACTATCGCCTCATTTGCACCAGATCATTATTTTATTTTTACGGATAGTCTCAGCTCTGTCGAGGCTATTCGCTCTATGAGACCGGTAAAGCACTCCTCGTATTTTCTCATGAAAATACGAGAGCTTCTAAGTGCTTTATCTTTAAGATCTTTTGTCATCACCTTTGCATTCGGCCCATGTCATTGCTCGATTCCGGGCAATGAGAAAGCGGACTCACTTGTATCAATTCAAACCTCCTTCTATCTCTCCCCATCCATGAAACTGTAAATCTCCACTAACCTCGAGTCGACCGCGAGTACTCGGTTCAATTCGTTTAACTTTAGATTTTAACTTTGGATTTAAGACATTTACAATGGCTCTGTAAAGTTTATTCGATTAAGCCTTTACAAATAAATTAATTTACACAAAAAAAAAGTTTTATGGCTAGCTGATAGGAGGCCCTAGTTTTAATTAAAGAGCACTAAATTGTGTGTACAATCCGAAATTATAACTATGTGCGCACCGTAAAGGGGGCGCACATATGAAAAATCATTAAGTAATCGGATCTAAATTTACCATGACAGAGCTGCAAAATTCCCTTGGAATTCTCCTATGTAGTTCTCCTCACAAATGCCTAGAATTCTCATCAAAATCAGTTTGAAATGCTAATCAGAACTCTTTTGGAATTCTCCGCCTAATTCCTTTTGAAGTTCTCCTGAGAATTCTTCTCACATTTCCGGAGTGATTCGTGATTAGGACGTAATTACTTTTGTAAACAAAGACGACAACCGCCGAGTAAAAGTTCAATCTTCCAAACAAATTATACTAAATGACAGAGGTATCATTCCTCTACACATTGAATTGTTAGTTTACGAGATTGAAACTTTATTCGCAAGAACCGGGCGATTGATGAGTTTGTTTACAAAAGCAAATACGCCCAAATCTTGAATAACTCCGAATTTAAGTATTGTCCGATGATTCTCAAGGAATCCAAACGTTTTCTATGCTCTCAGAGATTTCATAAAATACTCATCAAAATTCCTTTGAAATTCTCCTCAAAACTACCGTAAAATGATGCTCTGAGTTCTCTTGAAAATTTGCTTATAAATAGCTTCTTATGAATTAATCACAGAACTTCCTGTCAATTTTCATTCAAATTTTCTTTCAATAATATTCTGGGTTGGGTTGCCATGGAATTATACTCATAGCTAGGAGAAGGAGAGGCCTACTGAACAGGTTGAGGATAGTGAATATTCCCGGTCCGGTCTAGGAATTTTTCGGGATGGAAAATTTCTTGACTTCCCTGGGCATAGAGCATGATTGTACTTGCCACACAATTTTACTAATGCAGTTGCGTCCCGTAACCTCACTTTTTACCTGTGAGCCAACTTTCAAAACCAGATTTAATGCCATATTCATACTCGAATCGGTTGAAAAATACACTATTCTAGTTAACTCTTTATCTATCCATTGCAAGCAATATTTTGATAATTGTTTTTTTTTTGAGAGTTAGTGGACAGGTAGATTGAGGTTAAGGAAACGGCACTGTACTAATGTAAAAATGGTACCAGGCACCGAAAGCTCTCAATTTATAACTGTGGAAGTGCATCTAGAACACTAAGTTGAGACCACACAATAAGCTAAAATGCGATAAGTTCTTCTTCTTCTTCGCATTTCAAGCTTATTGCATATCGCATATTAGCTTATTGCGTGCTCTCAACTTAGTGTTCTAGATGCACTTCCACAGTTATTAATTGAGAGCTTTCGATGCCTGTACCATTTTTACATTGGTATAATTGTGTGGCAAGTCCAATCATACTTCTATACCCAGGGAAGTCGAGAAATTTTTCAACCTGAAAAATTCCTAGACCGGACCGGGAATCGAACCCAGCCACCTCCAGCATGGTCTTGCTTTGTAGCTGCGCCTTTACCGACAGAGCTAAGAGAGGCCCCAAATGTGATAAGTAATTAGCTTGAAATGCGAAGAAAAAGAAAGAAGGCGATATTGAACCTACAATCAATTAATTTGTTTCAAACAATTGAAGGTTTGGGACTGGAGTGCGGGATGCTCATTATGCCCCTCTTACCACTACTTTTGAATTCTCCTCAAGTTTCACCTGGACTCTGGAGATCCTCAGAACTACATTGAAAGAAACCCTTCGATTTACCTTGCAGTTCATCTCAATTCTTCCCAAAACTCCCTTGAAGTTATCCTACGAATTACCGTGAAATTCACTAGAGTTTCTTGAAAATTATCATCAAATTCATTTATCAAATCCTTGATAAATTTGATCAGGTCCTCAATCTTGATTATTTTCAAATATGGAATCTTAGAAAATCTCCAATGTTCGACATATTAAATATTTTCTTCGTTCCAGGTTCCTTAAAGTTTCTCCAAGTTTTTTATTATAAGTCCAAAATTTTGTAAAATAGTTTAATTTAAAAACCTGTAATAAATTTCCATGTTCCAAAAACAAAAAATACCAGGCCAAGCTTCAGAATTTTTCAAAATGTATTGAGTTGTTGAAGATTAATCCGCTCCGCAATTATTTATTTCAATGCTACCCATAAACGCATAACAGTCTCAATTCAATTGGAAATCAACCAAAGATGTGACTTGTATGTACATAATAAGTAAAAGATACACCTGATTGCCCACATAGAATGTTCTGAAACACTTTGAACGAACCGCCTAAACTGGGCTTTAAAGCCTGGTTGAGAAGATTTACTTCAGTTTTCAACTACCTGTCTAAGCTAATCAAAGATTCTCTGATAAGCAGGAAATTTGTTTGGCTTTAAATGATCAAACATTTTCCCCTAAGGTAAGAAGTCCAAGATGAAGTTTAAGATGAAGTCCAAAAGAAACATATTATAAATTATTAGCTTCAGCGGGGAACCATCCTTTAGAACCGATCAAATGGTCCAAAAGCCGTATTTAGGAGGAATAATTTTTATGCGCCAAAACCATCAGTTTCAGGTTAATAGATTCTTCGGAAAAAAATTCCATTTGTTTCAGACAATCTTTTGATGTGAGAGACAATAGGCTGGTCCTTACGATTAATGAGTTCAAAATACACCCAAGCATACGGTTTCTGGACCACAGTGCAAAGGTCAAATAGTTTCGTATCTTTAATCCCGGAAACATTGGTCTGGGATTCAACGTAATTACCGACCCGTGACATCTTACCTGCTAGGTTCGGTCGATCGGTAGTACACATCATCGGGAGCGTCCATCCAACTTATGACTTGCTTCCGCCCGGAACCGGTCCGTGCCATTTGTGCAATTTTTGGTTTACCATTCATCTGAAAAACAACGGAATTAAAATTCAATATTCGATGATTCCAATCAAAAACAAAAACTTACATGATGCCTCGGGAGAGGTTGTCCAGCTGCCTGCGCTGCGGCCATCATGGCTGCGTACTGCTCGGGAGTAGGCCGATGAGACGGCATAGGATCCTTGTTGGGTCGTTTCGTTGGAGGTGCAACCGGACCTGCAGAGAAAATTACGATTTTAGCCAACAGAAATAATCAGAATCCTTTACACGAATCGCTTATTACCATCGATTCCATTGGCATCCTCGTAGTTCCGTCGCTTCAAGGAAACAGGTGGGGTGGGGGTAATGGGACTGCTCGCCACCATCCCTGGACCGGTGCTGGCTGCATTCGGTGTAGTACGTCCGGCCGTCACTCCTGCCGTGCTCCCTAGCGTGGGAATTCCCGGTGGAACTGCCACCGATCCTCCTCCTACAATTGCATTCACAGTAACTCCGGGCAGGTTATTGGCAGCCGCTACGGCCGCCGCTGCCGCAGCATTCAGTGGTTTCGGTTCAGCCTCGACTTTGTTTGGTATCCGATCGTAAATTAAACTACCATCGGGTGCCTTCGGTGGCTTCGGGAATGCAACCACTTCCGGTTTTGGCATTTTGTCCTTGGGGGTCAGTATGAGCCAATCTCCCACGGTGGGCCCGGGATTGCCGAGACGGTTCGCTATATGGGTTACGCTGCCACGGTCTCGCTTCTTGTAGATCAGCAACCGTTGCATGTCCGCTATACTCTTGCCCACCTCGGCGACGGTGACTGTGACACGGAGAAACGCATTTAGGATAAGACTATTAGAAACTATTGGGTTAGGAAGGTAACTCACATTCCTGTTTCACGGCAGCAGTGTTGATCGAGTACGAGGGTTGACGAGCGGCTTTCTTCGAGCGAACGATTTGCCTACAAAGCCGCCTCGATAACCGCGTGGTCCAATTAGTGTACAGGTAGAATGCCGTTCGCGTCTTCATGATCGGCCGGGGCGATCCAGATCGGATCTGAATTCCATGTGCCTGGGCGTAGTGCCGCGCCAGTTGTGCTTTCAGTTTGAACTCCTTACCACAATTGACGATGGAACATTTGAAGGACGGACTACAAACCGAGGGAGAAATTTGTTTCAAATATTGAACACCCACAGAACAGTAGACTTCCCACTTACCTATGCGGTCGATGATTACTCAGTCCGCCGCTGTCTAAACTTCCGATCGGTCCACTACTAGCCACAATGGTCAGATCATCATCGATATCACTTCCGGCACTGCCGGTCCCGGTTGCTGGGCCGCTGATTACTCGTTGTGGTGTTTTTTTCAGTGACACGATACCGGGCGATCCTATTCCTGCTGTTGGTGCTGCCACTGCTACTGCTACTACTACTGCTCCCCCTCCTCCTTCGCCTCCTCCTGCTGTCGTCGTCGTGTCGACGATATCACCACTATCCGCTAATCGCGATGCTACTTTAAGGCCTCCGTAACGCTTCCAATAGTTCCAACAGATCTGACACAAACGGCAGCTCATGTGCGATGGACCCCACGAGTACCACTGCTAGAGAAGATGGGATTAATTACAATTAATTATCCGGACAACCAGCATCTACGAGAACCCTACCTGTTGTGACGCTAACGTCGAGCAGGACTCACACGGTTTTCCACTGCTGATGGTTAGCACCTCCACGCCACTGCTTCCGTTCGAATTTCCGTTCAGAATGTTTTTGTTGTTGTTCGTGATCAGCGCCGGGCTGGGCTTGGTGTAGTTGGGAATGTAGACCTGCTTCAACTTCGACTCGGCCTCGACGGCTTTCACCCGCTTCTGCTGAACGTATCGGTCCGTCGTTTTCCACATGTAGTAGTACTCCACTATGCTTTTGAGCGTTTTCCATGGAAGCTGCATGGTAAAAACAAAAGCAACCCAGTTAGTACAACATTTCCCCATTTAATACGTAGGGTACAGAAGGGAGCAGACACCGTTAATCGGAACCCTTCCTTGATAGGTACTACTCACAAAGTCGTTCCGAATGTCGTTGAAGTCTTTGCCGTACTTTTCTAGGGCGTCCTCGAAGAGGTTCGCTTCGGAAGCACTCCACTCCTCCATCTCGTCTCGACATAGCACCGGCCCACTGGAGGGCACTAATGAACACATGGCATCCTCTATCGAGTAGTTGTGCTTGTGCAGGGTATCCATCGCATGAAACTGAAAAGGACCGAAAATGAACCCTGAAGTTTCGATTCAAAATCCCTATATAGACAGTAATCAATCCTACCAAGGTAATATCACGACTAGCGGCCGCAGCCGACATGTGCAGGGACGGTTGTTTCACTGAGCTGGTACAATCCAGTGCCCGGGCAAAGGTACCAACAGACCGGGACACCACCAGGAACTGATCGATCTTCTTATCGTTGAGCGTATGCCGCGGCGTCCACACTATCGTTTCCATTTCTTCAAGATTTCGCTCGTACTTCTCACCGTCCTTCAGCATCGCTTGCACCTCCGTTTGGTATCGACTTCCGACACGGATTTCACCCTTGTCCGCCAGCAGGGTCTTCTGCGTCGGGTCGAATACTAGGCAGTAGAAGAAGGTGTCCTAAAATAGCAAAGCAAATTTAGACCAAACGGTGTCCCACAAACGAGAAAAGGTGTGATCCTTCGAAGGCGATCGTCGATTGTCGCGGCCTGTTTGGAAATCGATCCTTTACTACTACTCACGTCTTTGTTCAGATAGCTGAGCAGCGATTCCTCCTCGTTGAGCAGCGTCACCGAGCACTTGCCTCGGATCTGGGTAGCCGGCAGGGTTTCTACTTGGCGGGACAGGAACAACTCGCGGTGCTTCATCTGGTGCCGTTGCTTTGGATTCAGCTGCTCGCCTCGGTCGATTCCGCTGCCGGTGCTGTTGGGACTATTCCGTTCCTCTTCGAGGGCAACTGTGGACAAAGGGAGAGGAGCAAAAGAAAGCAAACATGAGTAAAGTGTGGCTGTTGAAGTTTGGAGGCGGTATGATTCAACTTTTGTGACAAGTTTTTACTTTTAATCTTTTACTCTCCGATATTAACCGTGTGCGATACAAAAATTAACTGAGCTCATTCACGAATGGGCTGCTTTATTTATACTCATTCACCAGTCCGACAAACGTATAATGGGCGGAGCGTTGCGCGCTATTCTACGTTTTCTTCTTGTAGGTTTCCTTTGTTGGTGTGCGTCGCTTCTACTGCTGCCGCTGCTTCTGTTGGTGTGCGTCGTTTGGTTTCATTTGGCAGTCTTTCCGGAGCGAACGGTTCGGTCGCGAACAGATCTTGTGAATGCCCGTGAAATCTTTATCTGATTGTTTGCTATAAAGAAGCTAGTAGGGAGCCGCGCTACTTCGTCGTATCATGGCGCCTATTTTCGTTCTATGTGCTAAAACTATAATAGCAAAGCGTTTACACTCACGTTTTTTCAAAAACATCTTTGCTTACAAGATTAATTACGATTGACACTGAAACATTTGCGATAACCCGTAAAATGAGCGATTTTAGGGGTATATGACGAAAAAAGCTGAGATGCGACGGACTATCGCAGAGTCCTATCTAACTAATGTCTGAAATTTATAGATCTATAAGCCCCTAAATCTTGAGATTCCTGTTTTTGAAACTGCGATTTTTTTAAGTTTATCTCAAGGTGAAATTGCGAAGTGTGATATGAATGAGGACTCTTTAAACAAACCTTTGCTTCTAACAATTTTACGGATTTCCAGTTTGTTTAAATATTCCGCAAATTGTCGACGATTAAGGATCTTATTTAGCGGAATTTTGATTACGACATGATTTCAAAATCATATGATTAAAAGATTTCATAAACAACGCTGGTTTAATAACTTTTATTATTAAAAAGACTGACTGCTGAAGTTCATAGAAACTCCCTAAAGTTCGTAGAACTTCCCAGAAGCGTTAAGGTCTTTCCTGAAGGATTCATTGAAGTTTATATTGCCTGAATTTCATGGGACTTCCCCGAAGTTCGAATGACTTTTTTTTAAGATCTTAGGACTTCCCTGAAGTTCGGAGTTTTTTGAAATTCATAGAAATTTCTTAAATATCGTAGAAGTACCACGAAGTTCGTAGAAATTCTCAGAAGTTCGTAAAACTTCCTTCAAGTTCGAAGAACTTTCTTGAAGATCTGAGGACTTCCCTGAAGTTTGAAGGACTTAACTGAATATATGAGGACCCTACATTTAGAAGAGCTTCCCTGAAGTTCATAAGGCTTTAAATATCGAAGGGTTTTCCAAAAGTTTGTGGGTTTTTCATTAATTTCTTGGAAATTACCTGAAGTTTGGAGAGCTCCCATGAATTTCGTAGGATGGTTGGTTGGTTGGTTGTCTTTATTAAGGAGATTTTCGGCCAGACGCTGGTTCATCTCTGAGGCAATTTCGTAGGACTACCTGTAGTTCAATCGACAACATTTTTTAGCTTGGAGAACTATGTTAAGTTCAAAGGACTTCCCAAGAGTATTGAAGACTTCTCTGAAGCTCAGAAAAATCCATAAGTGTCATAGGATTATACTTAAGTTTTAAGCAATGCCTAAATGTCGTAGAAGTTATATTAAATCTGTAGAAAATTCTGTAAAATTCGTAGTTATTCCCCAAAGATTAAAGGACTTCCCTGAAGTTCGTAAGACTTCTCTGAAATTTGTAGAACTTCTCTGAAGGTTCGGAGAGATTTTCTGACCGTCGTAGGTCATCACAGTAGTTCACGTGGGGCATGCGGGGCACGATATTCAATAAGTCCAGCTAGTTCATCTGTTTCGCTGACGACGTGAACATTGTCGGAAGAACGTTTAAGGCCGTGGCGAAGCAGTACACCAGGCTGAAACGTGAAGCAGAGAAGGTTGGATTAAAGGTGAATACGTCGAAGACAAAGTATCTGTTAGCTGGAGGAGCCGAGCGTGATGGGGCTCGCATAGGCAGAAGCGTGACAATCGACGGAGATGAGTTCGGGGTGGTGGATGAATTTGTGTACCTCGGATCATTGGTGACGTCGGATAACAACTGCAGCAGAGAAATTCGTCGGCGTATTATAGCCAGAAGTCGTGCTTACTACGGACTTCACAAGACCCTGAGGTCGGGTAAACTTCACCTCCGTACTAAATGTACCATTTACAAGACGCTCATAAGACCGGTAGTTCTCCACGGGCACGAGACGTGGACAATGCTCGAGGAGGACCTGCAAGCACTGGGTGTTTTCGAACGACGAGTGCTTAGGACCATCTTTGGCGGGGTATGTGAGAACGGTGTATGGAGGCGAAGGATGAACCACGAGCTGGCGCAACTCTATGGCGAACCCTGTATCCAGAAAGTTGCGAAAGCTGGACGGGTACGATGGGCGGGACACGTTTTAGGAATGCCCGACAACAATCCCGCAAAAATGGCGTTTGCCTCGCTTCCCGCCGGTACAAGACGAAGAGGAGCACAGCGAGCAAGGTGGTTAGACCAAGTGGAGCAGGATCTTGGAAGTGTGGGACAGTCAAGGAATTGGAGACAAGCCGTCACGGACCAATCTTGAGGGATGTCGGACCAGGATAAGTAATTATGTAAACTATTTGGTAGTTTGGCATAAGACATTTGTTTCCGAATAGCCATTTGGCATAAACTATATAGCAAATCCAATAAAACTGATCCTAGAGCACCGCAAATTTTTTTTCAAGACATAAGGAACTGTGATATAAGAATGAATTTGAGGTCGTGACATAAACATGGATCCGGATGGCTATGGGCATCAGACAATCAGCGATCTTATTCATACGAAATTACTCGACATTTCTGTAAACAAATCAGCATCAGCTGAGGATTGCAAAATGGCTGAACCTTTACCAGAAACCTTGAATGGAACCAGCTCACTTTAACTGCACATTTAGCAATACAGTTGTATTCGTGCAACCTGGTCATAGCAGTGAGTATGTCTTGGTACGGGAAAAATGTAACCATTTCAGGAGACGATGGTGATGACGTCATTACAAACATTATTCTTTTGTACAGTCGCTAAGAAATATCTTTCTTATATCACAGCTCCAAGTGTTTTCGAAAAACCGCGGAGGTCTAGGATCAGTTTCATAGCTTGACCACTTTTACGGATGTTCCGAATGTTCTGGAGGACGGGTCTATGTTTATGTCACAACCCTAAATTCATTCTGTCGTCGCCAGCTAATCCAAACACTTAAAGCAACCAACGGTATAAACAGAACGCTTACTACAACTACCATGACAAACTCTCACTGCAACATAGCTCGATCGGAGTGGTAGACGGATAATGATATATTGCTTGCCTGCTTTGTTTCAATATACATGGTTGAGGACATAGCTTGATCGTAATCGAGAAAAGACATAACAAAAAAATCTCATTAACACACGTGTATCACTTCCGGCTTTACTTCGTGAAGCAGCTTGCCAACAATTTGGTACTAAAGGGTGTCCCACATCAAATTGCATCACCGAAAAAACGCTGTAGAAAATTACCTAGTTGACCGATCCTTTTCAAACTTTCAGACAATAAAATACAACCCATTAGTAAGCTTTTGGCATATTTATTTCATTCAACTTCAATACCATAACCGTACGCTCGCACCTTACGCTTAACTACACTCATTACTTACTTACTTACTTAAGGGTCCTGTGCACCACCAGCGGTGCAAAGGGCCAACGTGAAAGACTTCCATCCTGGGCGGCTGCTCGCTTTTGCCTTGACCTGGGCCCAGGTCAGATTTCTATCGACTTGCTTAATTTCCTTATTGAGGCTCCGCCGCCATGAGCCCCTGTGTCTGCCTCTGCTGCGATGGCCTGCTGGATTCCAATCCAGCGCTTGCTTGCAGATTTCGTTTCCGCCCCGTCGAAGTGTATGGCCGACCCACCTCCACTTTCGCTCTCGAATTTCTGTTGCTATCGGCTTCTGATGACATCGACGATGGAGCTCGGCATTCGAGATCCAGTTGTGAGGCCACCAGGTACGAATTATATACCGCAGGCATCGGTTGATGAAGACCTGCAGCTTTTGAGTGTTCTCCGCTGATACACACCACGTCTCGTTGGCGTATAACAACACAGATTTCACGTTCGAGTTGAAAATTCGGATTTTGGTGCGTTGACTTATCTGGTTGGATCTCCATACGTTTCGTAAACTCGCAAAGGCAGCCCTAGCCTTCTTGATTCGTGCACCTATGTCGCTCTTGGTCCCGCCGTCCGACGCTATTTGGCTGCCAAGATATTGGAAACTTTCGACCTTCTCCACTGCTTGCCCCGCTACCGTAAAGTTGGAAGGGTTGCCCGTGTTGATATCCAACGATTTGGTCTTGTTAACGTTGATGGTGAGACCCGCCGCAGAGGAGCGTTCGGCTAGGTCATTGAGCTTACTCTGCATATCAGAGCGCCGTAGTAGAGCAACATCATCAGTCAAATCGAAGTCGTTGAGATGCTCCATGGTGATAGGCTGCCAAAGCAGCCCACGGTTCGGTACACGGTCAATTGCACCTACCATGATCTCGTCGATTACGATGAGAAACAGTAGCGGTGATAGTATACATCCTTGTCTCACACCAGTGACTACCCGGATAGGGTCGGACAAGGCTCCGTTATGCAGAACTCTGCACGTGAAAGCCTCATACTGCGCTTCGATGAGGTTGACGATTTTATCCGGGACTCCCTTGCGTCTCAGGGCGCCCCACAGATTCTCGTGATTGAGACGGTCGAAAGCTTTTTCGTAGTCAATGAATACCAAATAAAGGGACTCTTGGAATTCATTGACCTGCTCCAGGATGATGCGGAGCGTGACAATATGGTCCCCACAAGATCTTCCGGCACGGAATCCTGCCTGCTGCCGTCGGAGAGTCGCGTCGATCTTCTCCTGTATCCGATTCAGGATAACTTTGCACAGAACTTTGAGAACAATACACAGTAACATGA